AAATTTAGGTCAGACATTTATAGTGGAAGAGAAATACGAATTCATAAAGTAAATAGGATAAGGAGCTTATGGAGTAGTATGCTCTGCGAAAAATAAAAAGAATGGTTAGATGGTAGCAGTTAAGAAAGTATTTATATGAATTAAATAAAGATTCCAAATGCATTTGAGGATTTAGTGGATGCTAAGAGAATAGTGAGAGAGATCAAATTATTAAGTAATTTCAAATTGTTATTGTTAGAGTTTTTTGATCATGAGAACATTATTTCTTTAGTAGATTTACCTAGACCAGAATCAAAAACAGGATTCAATGATATATATATAATAACAGATTTAATGGGCACAGATTTACATAAAGTCATTTATTCATCATAAGCTTTGACAGATGAACATATTTAATATTTTGCATATCAAATGTTAAGAGGATTACTTTATATACATACAGCAAATGTTATACATAGAGATTTAAAACCAAGTAATATCCTTTTGAATAAGGATTGTGACTTAAAAATTTGTGATTTAGGATTAGCTAGAGGTTATGAAACAGAGGAAGAATTTAAAACAGAATATGTAATAACAAGATGGTATAGAGCACCAGAAGTTATATTGAATGCATCTGAATATACAAAAGCAGTTGATATATATGCAGCAGGATGTATTATAGCAGAACTTTTAGGTCGTACACCATTATTTCCAGGTAATTATAAAATTAATAATGTAAGGTGAGGATTATTTAGATTAAGTATAGAGGATTATTTCAGTTTTAGGAACACCTACTCCTGATGATATGAAATATATAGGAAATCCAAATGCTATAAATTATATTAAAAGTTTGCCTAAAAGAACAAAACAATCATTTACTTAACTCTATCCTAAAGCAAATCCAAAAGTTTGTGAATTATTAACTAAGATGATTACATTTAATCCAGATAAAAGATATACTGTTGAATAATGTTTAGAACATGATTATTTTGATGGATTACATAATCCAGAAGCTGAACCTAGATGTGATAAAGTATTTGATTGGAGTTGGGATAATTTTGAATTAAAAAGAGAAACATTATAAAAAATGGTTTATGACGAATCTTTATAATTTAATCCTGTCAAATTGTGAAATAACTATTAATATTATTTTTCATTTCTACTAAAGATCAAATATTTTGTGATTCCAATATCCTGAATATTCTTATTTCATCTAATTTACTTCTTTTAATATATTCCTAAATATATATATACAAATTTATTACTCTATACATTATTATAGATTTTTATGACTAGATTTCCATAATTCCCATATAATTTATTATCCCATTTATTAATTATTATCTTAATATTAATCAAATATCCCTTAACAATCTTATAGAAATGGTTATATTATATCAAAAAATGGTTTAAAAGTGGGTCTAAAATTAAATGTATGAATTGAGAGTAGACAATGTATAATTAAAGATCTCAAAATATTTATTTATCGAATAGCTAAAGGACAGTTTTTTAATTCTTTTGATTCTTTTGAAATATCTTCAAGTTATGAATATATTAAATCATTTTGTATTTACTTTTTTATTAATTCATTCATACTATTGTAATGAGGAAATATACTATTAAAAGATCCTTATATTCTATGAAATTCTTCTTATAAAATTACTAAATTAGGTTTAAGATTAATATTTGGTAATTCTTTACATTAAATTACACGATTAAGATTTATTGATAATGCATCTAATTTAGATATTAATTATTCATCTATAAAATTCTAAATAGAAATAATTACTTACATATTATTATTTATTACAATCAAATAAATTGATTATTTCAGAAATACAAGAATCTACTTTAGAAAGTGTTAATAATATATGTTTCTATGAATTATTTTTTTATTCAAATTGCACCTCTTGTTCATGCAATTATTATGATTAAATGTATCTTAATCGTTCCAATTATTTATCGCAAAACGTACTAATTTTATATGCTCCATCATATGTATCCTAAATGTTCTCCATAGTATCTCTCAAATTAATAAGCTTGTTATAAACTGTTATACTTGATTTTCTAATTCATATTATATCTGTCTTGTTAATTAGACAATTTAAGTCATACGAAAAATTTGTTATTGTTTGCTTAATATATTTTAGGACAATAGTAAAAAACGTCTTTAATTATAATGTAAAGTTGTTTTCATAATCTTTTCATTCAACAATCTATTTAATAAAAAATATAATTCATACTCCTAATATTCTTTATTTTAATTTTTCAATAATATTAAATCAGATTCTAAATTTTTTACTTTATCATTTAATAATTATATTTCTCTTTATTTCTCCTTTAATTTTACTTATAATTATCTTTCATTTATTGTTATTGTAGTTTTTTATGATTCTGTCTAAGAAACATTAATTTATTAATTTATTTCTTCTTTTTTTATTTAAGAAGATTTTTATTAATTTATTTATTTTTCAGTTTCTTTGATTATAGGTGGTTTACTTATTTTTTATTCCTATTATTTTGCTATCGGAAGCTTTTTATTTAAACTAGTAGATTTTTAATCAGATTTTTTAACAATTGAAGCTTTATTTATTAAATCACTACTGCTTAATCCATCATTCTCTTAAATAAATTAATTAACTTTTTCTTCTAGCTACTTTTTTTCTAATTTTGAATTACTTAAATTTGAATTGTGTTTTTTAGGTTGCATTGAAATATTAAAATTAAATTATATAAAATAAATTATTATATTAATAATAAGTTGAATATTATTCTCTTAATTATATATTGTAATTATAGAATGTAAAATATTAAACAATCATATATTATTATCATTCTTATCAGAATTTGTTAATAATACTTTAACTTAAAATAATTATATTAATGATATATATTCATGTTTAAAAATTATATAAAATAATGTCTTAACCTTTATTTAAATTTATTATCTATAAAAAAAACAAGGAAAACTTAGAAATTATTAGAGATTTTCATATACATTTTATTTAAAATTGGCTCATGAAATGATAACTAAATACTTTTTGCTTAATTAAATAATAGTCATTGTAAAGAAAATTATTAATAAAACTTCACAATTACATTTATTATAAATGATTTAAGAGTTTGAAGTAAGTTTTCAAACATATATTAGAAATTTAAACTTTCTGCACTCAATCCTTTTTTAGTTTGTTCTGTATGCAATGGATATTTTAGATTTGCACATACTTTATCAGAATGTGGTCATACATGTATTAAATTTAGATATTAAAAGTTTGTTTTGTTTGCATTTCAAATAAAATGTACTGTCCTAAATGTCCTAATATATAAATAACAAAAAATACAATTAGAAAGGATCCTTATTTATAATCAATAGTTGATATGTTATTTCCATAATTCTAATTATCTGATTAAATCATTATAAATCGTTTACAAAAATTATTTGGAAATAGTATTGATTTCAATGATTTATAAAATCTTTTGGTTGAAAATAATAAAAAAAAAAGAAAAAATCAAAAATATGAATAAAAATAAGGACTTGTTTATTTAGTTTAAGAAACTTTTAATGGAACCATCTCTTATGATTAATTTAAGGATAATATTTATGATGAGTAAAAGTTTAAACAATTATTGGATTATGTAAGAAAATAAAAAATAGCAAGAGAAGAATAAAATATAAATCGTGTTCCAGGTTAAAATAATACAAATGGTTCTAAATTATCAGTTACTATTATTGGTAAAACAGAATAAGATAAAAAGATTGCAAAATTAGATTGTAAAGTTACTTATCATCCAAATGAATAATAAGGATTAATTAAAAGATTAAGAAAACTAGTATTGAAATCAATTTTAAAATAAGATCTTAGTGATTAAATTATTAATAAAAGCAAAGCTAATCTTTAAAATGTAAAAAATAAATCATTAAACTAATTAGATTGTCTTATATTTTAAGAATATTGATTTAAGAGATGATGAAGATGAAGAGTCATTATTTATAGGAATAGCTGATCCAACTATAGTTTATGAAATTTTATTTAAGGCATGATCAATTTAACATTATATTTTATAACAATTTAATTATGAGAGAGTAAAAAACATTTCTTAATTTAGTTTACAATCAGAATTGAGAACTCTATATATCAAATTGGGCATTTTCTATGTGTTTTTAATATTTGATTTAATTTGGTCATCATTTATTGAACCAACTACCATGAATCAAATATCTTAAGACAATAAAGAAGGATAGACTTAAATTTTATGGATGAGTTCAGTTCATATTATTATAACAGGAATAATTTTTGTATTATTCTGCACTTTGATGTGGTAGACGTAGCCATTAAAATTAGGAATGATTAAACTATTAATACGGTATTTGATTTATTAATATTTAGAGATTTCATGTATGTCTTTTTAATTAGTGGGTCTATGCTTATTATAGTTGTTATTGAAAGAGTAGCAATATTCATTACTAATACAAAATCAAATGCAGCTATATCTGAAGTAATTTAATCGAATTGGTCCAGTTTTTTTTATTAATTATTTTATTTTATCAGATATCTTTTAAGACCACTTTATATCTTTGTGATGTTACATGGATCATTGAAAATAACCAAACCTTATTATCATATGAGAAACCCAGAACTATTCATAAATTGAAATTTAAATTTTATTCATTATGTAACGAAATTTAAATTTTAAAAAAATGATATTGAAAATGTTTTCATACATAAACTATCCTATATTATATCTTCAGATTATTGATATTTATCATAAATTTGTTATCAAGATTTAATTATATTAAATAAATCAGACAATAAATTATAATTTTAAAGATCTGATAAATTTACAGAAAATCTTACTTTATTTTAATTTCAAAAGATATTTTATATTTAATTATCCTTTATTAAAGAGTAATAATGATTTATTAAAATAAATAGATATAAACATTTTATCTATTATTATGACATTAACATTAATTTGAAGAATTTATAGGTTATTAGTTTGATATTACAATTAAATATAAATCAACCAAGTTATGCAAAAAATGCTTCTTCTTTTGAGATTAGATTATTTACAGCCTATGGATTTTTACCATCATTTTCATAATTTTTAGCAACAGATTTTTCAGGTGTTGGAAAAGATTTTTCTGCTTTGACTTATCTTTTTGTTTTTTACTTTTATTACTTATTTCCACTTTAAAAGTTTTTTAATTATTATGCTTGTTTCTTTTGATTTTTAATTTCAATATCATAAATGTACTCTTTAAACATCTCTTACCAATCTGATTATCTACTTGCTTTTTCTTATTCATTTAAGATGTAGAATTATTCATCTGATTCACTTAAAGATGATAAGATTTCATTATCTTTCTATTCTTTTATAACATCTTAAATTGAAATAGGATATTCTTATTTTAAATTATTTTCTTGTTTAAACACTTCAGGCTAGACCTTTAATAATTCTATCATTTCTAAAGCTTTTTTTAAAGTACTTTCTTCTAATTATTTAATTTCTTCTTCTATCAATCCTTTTCTCATCTCTTCTTCTTATTATTTAATTTTTCTTTATGAAGGCGGATCACTTACAAGTCTAGGAATTCCAGTTTCAATATTTTCACTTTTTTCAAATTGTTTTTTTGTCAACTATGATATTCCTGTTTAATTAGTATCAGCTACTCTTTTTCTAATTGTTTCATCACAAACCTGAATAGTTTTACAAACTTAAGAAGTAGACATATTTTCTTCATGGTATCTAGATGATATAATTAATGCAGCTCCACAAAGTGATGATGGTTTTCTTCCATAAACCATCCAATCTAGCATCATTCTTTTAATTAATTTCATTGCTGTATTAACAATTGCTTAATTTTTATCTCGGCTAAGAATTAATTTAATTGGATTACTTTATTTCTAATAGTCTCACAAACTTAGGTATATAAATAGAGGGATCTAAATATTACAGACTTTTTGCTAATTATGCAATTTAAGGAATATTGGCATCTACTTTTACAAATTTTAATAGTTTTAAATAACATTTGGCTACTTTAATGGCAGAGTCCTTTTTTATAAGTTCTGAAATCTCTATTAGTAGATAAGGGGCATTTTTACATCTGAACCCAAAATATAATGCTTTGCACAATAGTATATATAAAATACCTGCTCCAGCAAAATACTATCCATTTCTAATTGCATTTTCACTTTTATAAAATTTCAATAATCTCCTTGCTATTTCAAATGCTTCCTTGTACTCTTCATCAACATCCAATTCTAGATCTAATTGTTATAATGTTTTCTCAGTTTCTTAAGGTAATTAATCTTAATCCTAAATTCTAGTATCTTATTAGTGAGTCACATTTCCTCCATTTAAAAATTCTGCTTGTTCACAGTTATTCTACATTAATAATATAAATTAAAAATATAGATTTTAAAGTAAATTTTGTATTAATAAATCAGTGATAGTTCTAATGATTCCATTTAACTATTATTAAATTTTATTAAGTTTTATCTAATTTAAAAATTTTTGATTGAATATTGATTACTAATGTATATTTAATTACATAACGATAAGTTTCATTAAATTTATAAATCAACTTATATGTATAAAAATAAACTAACTAAATAAATAAAATAATATTAATTAATCACTTACCCATTAATTAAGTTTAATTCATATTTTCAAGCTTCTTTAAAGACTTTAGAAATTAGAAATATATTTTGATAATTAATTAAAATTATTTTTGTTGATTTTTATATTTAATTTATTTGTTCTCTACTTATTATATTTACAATTTACAATATTTTAGAATATTTAAGAGAAAGCTTTAAATTAGCAACCAATAATTGAAAAAGAAATAATAAAAATAATTTTATGGTAATAATTACAAAACAAAAATTACTTATATTAATAACACAAAAAAAACACTGAATTTAATTAAAGTAAAATATTCATATTATAATAAGTAAAACATTGTAATGAAAACTTAATCTATGTATATATTATAGAGAAAAATGATTATCTTTATAGATTCATTCTTGTTCTTTCTCTTTTATTGTTATTTTATGTATTTTGAAATGAAAAACATAAATAATATAACCATGATTTTGTTTAAATATTAAGAGAGTCTAGGTCTTTTTACTTAAAGTGAAATAAGTTTATAGACTACTTGATTAAATGAAAGGAACAATTAAAGAATCTTTAATTATGTAGTAAGAGACGATTTAATTGTTTGCTGCAAAAAGCTAAGATATAATCATTAATTATAATGTTTCCTAAATCTTGTGATGAATTATATCAATGTCGACTCTTCAAAAAAAAGTTTCTGGGAAACTCTCCTAGATATTTTTATATCTTTTTAGATAAAGCTGTTGTTAATAAGGTAATATAGTGAATAAATTATGTTTATAGGAGTCTAATCGTAAAAGAGCAGATCGTGTTTTTAATGTAGAAAATACTAAGAGAATAGTTTGGAAATACACCATAGAATAACCAATTAAATTGAAAGGAATAATATTTGATAATGGAAATGAACAACAAGAGTACTTTGGAGATGATGATGTACTTCGTGAATTAAAAAAAAATATCTCAAAGTTGTTCTTTTAGGCCAAAGTACAAGAAGAATATGTGGCTATGTAAGTGATTGGATAAGGAAACTATGCTCTAGTATTAATTAAATTCATTATTATTAGGTTCTTGAATTATAACATTTACACTCAAATCAAAAGTTTGCTTCAAAATGTATAGATAAAAAAAAACTATAGACAATTGAATAAGGAATGGTAATAATTTATTTAAATTCTATAGGAATCTGTTTTGAATGAAATTTAGATAATGAGAATCTTAAGTCCACATGAATAAATCATAAATTTGATTGAAGTTTATGAAGGAGATAATAACATATATTTAATAATGGATTTAGCTTAAGGAGGTAGTTTATACAAGGAAATGAAAAATAAGTTAACTCTATATAGTAGAAAAGAAGTCTAGAAAGTAAATATTATAATTTAAGTTAAAGATTATGTATTAGATATTATCTGGTTTATAATATATACATTCTAAAGGAATTATGCATAGAGATCTAAAACCAGAGAACATTCTATTCAAAGAAAAGGGGAATATAAATACTTTAACTATTGCTGATTTTGGTTTATCTGTTAAAGTTGATTCATATCCATATCTATACCCAAAATGTGGAACTCCAGGTTTTGTTGCTCCAGAAATAGTTAATTTAATAGATAAAACTTCTTCTTATACAACAGCATGTGATATATTCTCTGCTGGTGTTATTTTTCATATTTTACTTTTGGGAGAAGGTTTGTTTATTGGAAATGGACATTAAGAGATTTTGAGGATGAATAAACAATTCTAAGTGGATTTAACAAGAAATAAATATTAATAATTAGACTCAGATGCTAAAGACTTATTGTAAACTTAAATTCTATTATTAGATTTAAAATGATAGTCCAAGATGCTGATTAAAGATTTACAGCAAATCAATGTCTTAATCATGTCTACTTCTCAAATGAAGTTGCTCCCTAATTATAACTAAAAATGTAATAATTAATAAAATTATATCTTAGATAAGAGAGTCCTACCAAAGTTTCTTTCGATCACTATCTAGATACATATAACAGTCCTGATCAAAAATTAATGAACAAAGATGGCAAAAAATTATCAATAGTCACTAGAACACCTATATATGCTCCTAAAGCTAGTACACCTGAATTACCAAAACAAAGATCAATTATGGAAGAACTAAGTCCATTAAGTTCATTTTCTTTAGATTAGCTAAATAATGAAACTCAAAAAGAAGATTAATTCTAATTTGCTATTACTAAATGATTATTATATATATATATTGATATATTTTAATTAAAATACTTAGTTTATTATTTTATTAAATATTTTTTAATTAATAATCTGACTCAAGGATGATTTATATATATTTAATAATGTATAATTTTTTTTGTTTTGTTAGATATCTTGATTAATTATATTGGTCTTAGAAATTAAATAATATATTATTTATAAGTTAATTATATTTTAAATTATATAAGTGGTTTATTCTTAAATAATTTACTTTTATTCAAAAATAAGAGATAAACAATAATATTATACCTTGTAAATTTTCATATGTATATTTTATTGAATTAAGTAAACCTCAATAAATACTACACAAATATCTCTTTTATTAAGAAAAATAATGTTAAGTATTGTTTTAATTATATAATTATAGTTTAAAAATTAATTATAAAAAATTTAAAAGTTCTTCTTCATTTTAATTTTTTAAATATATTATATGAGTTGATTGAGCATTAATTTTTATATATTAATACTCAACTATATGTATCTATTGTTTGAGGATAAATAATTACAATTATTAACATCTATAATAATAATCAAAGTAATATTCTCTTATTGTAAGTTTTTTCTAAATTATGTATATATTCTTAATGATGTATTTAGAAATCTTCAATGAAGTTAGGAGGTAGATTGAAGCTGTGTTCTGGTTCTATTTCATCTTAAAATTTAGCATCTAATATTTTTTTCTAAGAATAAATATAATTAAGTTACTGCTAATTCTTCTCTTTCAATTTTTGATCCTCCATTATGTTTAAGTCTAATATGTAAATTCAATGAAATATCAGTCCCATAGATTTTATCACATTTTTCATAAGGACACTATTTAAATATATAAAAAAATGTACTTAAAAATCCCTTTTGATGAGGTTGGCAGTTCTACGTTTTTTTTTGGTTTCTTATTTTTAAGGTTAAACAAGAATGCAATGTTCTGTCATTGATTCCTAATATAATTCATAACTTTTAAGTTACTTCCAAATAATCAAGACGTTTAGACAACTGATTTAAATCTTAATCTAAATGATCAATATTTCTTGAAATTTGTTAAAAGTTCATCATAAGTGTCTCTATTGTACTTTTAATACATGTAGGTGGTTTTTTACTCAAGAACTCTATTTACTCTTTTTATCTTAACATACTAATTTTTTGTATAACTATTAATTAAATTGAGGATCATAGCATACTTAGTTTTTCTTAAATATTCTAATTATATTTTATGATAATATAAAATGAATAAACAAAGAGAATTGTTTCAATTATAATATAATTTATATGAAGGTAAATATTCATAATAAGTTTTAGAATATTAAATAAATACAAAATGGATTATGATAAATTGTATATGAGAATAAAAAAGTATCCTTAAAAATGGGGATTGTAAGAAGTAGAAACTTGGTTAGCAATAGCAGAATTATAAGAATTTTAATTCAAATTTATTTCCAATTAAATAGATGGTCCTCTCTTAGTTACTCTTGAAGAAAGTGATCTATTTGAAATAGGAATTGATGAAAAATCTGAAAAATTCTCAAATTTAATTCAATGTAGAAATTAAATAATAAGTAGGGATTAAATAAGGTCTAAAAGATTATTCATATTTTCTAAAAGATAAACTATATTAAGAGTATATTAATTAGGGAACAATTGAAGATGATCTGAGCATAACAAAAAATTAACGTTCTTCATTGATAGCATCATATAATTATGAGAAAACTATTTAAAAGGTTGTTACTTTCTATTAGGAAGAAGGTGAAAAGAATGAAGTATAACAATATTAATAAGTCAATTAAAAATATGAATAAAATCTAAATAATGGATTAATATTGATTTTATATTAAGAACCTCCAAAATAATATCATTTTTTAAATTAAGAAATAAGTATAGGAAGAAATTATGATAATACAATAGTTTTATGTGAAGACTACATAAGTAGATAACATTGTTTAATAATATGGAATTCCAATAATTAAAATTTTTATTTATAAGATTTGGGTTCTACTTCTGGTACTTACATTTTATTAATACATCCAACTTTGTTATAAGAATAATTCATAATATAAATGGGATCTGCCTAATATAGAATAGAGAAATTAGATATCTAAGGAATTAAATGTTCAGTATAGATGAAGATTGTTGAAGGCAATAGATTAGGATTTACTTTTTGTTTTGAATTAATAAAAAATTAGTCTAATTTAATTTTTGGGAGAAATTAATAATTATTTGCTATGGATCCTGTAATTATTTGAGTTTCACATAGATAGAATTTGAGTAATATACATGCACAATTTCAATATATTGATGATGGATTAGTAATAGAAGATTAAGGAAGTAGAAATGGTACATGGTTAAGATTGAGTATTCCTTAATAAGTTAGTGAACCAATTAAATTAATTAATGGAAGAAAATTTAGATTAGCATATGAGAAGGTTTTTGAATGTATTGTTAATTAAAGTTGAATAGATTTAAATAATATTTATGTTAATTTTTAAGAAATTAATAATGTAAATTGTATTTTAATAATGATTCTAATCAATTTTCTAATAATTTTCTCTTTAGTTATCCTAATTTGGAAGATATCAAATCAACAGCTATAGCAACTGATCTCTTTTATTTAATTCTATAATTATTAATAATATAAATACCTGCTAGCAGTATCTGTTTCATATTCTTATCTTTTCAATCTACAATCATTTTCTCTATTTTCTTTTTCTTTAGATTTAGTTGTAATCTTTTAATCAACTTCAAATTTTTCATTTTTAGCTTATTAAATTCTATTTGATAATGAATCAATTAAACCTAAATATATATTATATATAATATATACCTTCCATATATGTTTTATCTTAATTAGCCTTAACTAATTGATCTGATAATAGAGTTCTCAAATCTTCATAAGAACTTTATCTTAGATTTTCTGCTTAATCTTCTCTAATTCTTTCTGATTAAATATAATTTTCAATTTATTTAAGAATTGATAAAACCTTTCTAGTCAATACTTCACATTAACTTGGTTCATCTGCTGATGTCTAAGCTTAACTAGCTAATTGACTCAATATTTCAATTATTGATTTATAACCTTCTAAATGAACCTAGAATTGTATTTTTTTTGTTTTACATGATGTTTTAATTTATTAACTTTTTGAGCAACTTAAGCAAATGAAGTGATTCCCTTAGAATCAATATCTTCTTCTATATCTTCATCATTATATTAAAATGAAAAATCTTCTTAAAGAAATGATGGTTATGGTTATTAAAATCTATTTCTATTTTTTACCAATACATCTAAATATTTATTAAAGTATCCTTTAACTTAATTAACTCCAAATAATGCTTATTCAAGATTATCAAGAATTGTTTAATAAGTAGCTGATTCTTTTTATCTCTTTAAAGTCTAATAATCTAATTCTGCTTTCAAATCTGCAATTTCTAAATTCTTTCTCTCTAAACTAGCTACTGCTTAAACTTTTTATGGATTTAATGAATCTAAATCACTCTTTAAAGTAAGTGATGTGACAGTGCTTGTATTTATAATTTCTGTCAATTAACTCAAAGCAATATCACAGTTCTATTTAAATCTTACTATTCTCTCATCATCTCGTTTTTATTCTCCTTCTAATGTTTGTTCTAAATTTTGCATTATATCAACCAAATTAGAGACAACTGGATCTTCTGTTTACATCTCCATTTGAATAGTTTGTAATATAGTCTATCCAAATTATGTTTCTTCTAGTTCAGCAATTTAATTATCAAATTCTGTTGCTAGACTGCCCATAATCACTAATACAAGAAGCAATGCTTGTTTCATATTTAATATAATTAACAATAAAAATCCGTTTTCCATATATGTTTATTAATATTCTTATAAATTCGATAAACTTACTCTAATCAATTAATATACATATTTTTTCTTATTATTTTAACATACTATATAAATTATACAATATTATTATCAGTAAAGATATATATGATACAATTAAATTTGTTAAAACAAACTTATATTAATAAAATTATTCCATTTAAGACTTCTAATTTTTTAATTAACTATTTAAAAGTTGATTTAGATGTAAAAATTAGATTATAAATTTAATTTAAAAATGAACTCAGAAATAATTGAAGTGTGTTAACATTAAAAAGACAATATTCTTGTTAAAATGAAGAATGGAGAAAAGAAATGGTATAAATTTGATGAGGTTCTCAAATAATAGCCAAAGATGCTTGCTTAATGGCTTGAGAAGCAAGTATTTTTCAGAGAAGTAGAGGAAGATAAATTATATTGATGTGTTTTATTTTGTTTAAAATTCAAAGATTAAAACTCTATTCTAATTTAATATCACTTATCTTTTAACCATATAACCTACATTTTTATCAATTATTCATTAAATTATAATAAAATTTCAGGCAGGAATAATGTATTCTCAAAATTAGTTATTTCATCAAATTAATTAAGAAGTTCAAAACATTTAAATTGAGTAAACTCATTTTATAATTAAACAATTTCATACTATTATTTAGATCTTTAATTTATATTTACAATCAAAATATGCATAATAAAATAAAAATCTAATTCATCATATAAAATCACATTTAATTTAATCTTATCTAATAATAAATTCAATTTTTTTAATTTATTATTATACACAATACTTTATTAATTGAATTCACTCTATTATATTAATTTATTATATAAAAAGTGATAAAATCTTCACTTAATAATTATTAAGTATATTAAAAGCAATTATAAAATTATATTTTGTTTACTAATAAATAATTGTTAAGATTATTACTTTTTTAGGTAAGTTCCTTTAATAACAATTATATTTCAAAATTAAACCTACAATAATCTCTAAATATTATAGTCTCAATGATTAAGATACAAAAAACAATAATTTCTATATTACTTAATTAATTCAATATATTTGTAAATTGACATTCAGAGACTTCGATAAATTAAAAGTATATACTATATCAAAATTTATGTTTCTTTTTAAATAATATCATTCAAATATATATCAATTTATTAAAACAATAAAAATCCTAATATGAATTAAGAATAGAGTAGAATCCCTGATAAAAATTAACCAAAAAGTGCATTAAAAAAAGAAATCAAAAAAGGAAATTAGAGTATTTAAGATCAAAATAACTTAAGTTAAAAGGTTTGATAGAAAGGGGCAAGAAATTAAATAAGGTTCAAAATACGAGATTACAATCAATGATAAAGCTTAATTCTTCACTCTTAATAATGAAGAAAATGAGATTGCTAATTTAGATTTATCTAATTGTTCCAAATAAGAGAATTCAGAAAGTTATACTAAAACTAACTATAGAACTTAAAGAAGTCTAGAACTTAATTCAAAAGAGGAAGCGTTTTTAAAGATGCTGAGTTATAATTTCGAAAAAAATAAGAAAAAAGGAAAAAGTAAAGAATGCTGTATTATTTGGTGAAATCATCATTATTATATTTGTAATCTAATTTTATCAATAATATATTAAATAAAGACATATATCTTCTAATACTAATTATTTATATATAATTTTAAAAACTTAAAAAGAGCAAGCGACTTTGATTTTAGAGCTGAAAGGCTAAACTCAAAGTTAATGATTCTGTTCACTATATATTATTTACATTTCAAAAGAAAGTTGCTCATAAATTACATTACTTAAATTTACTTAAATAATTGCAATACAATATTTATTGAAGAATTTAAATTTAATGTATAATCAAATCTAAATCAGTTAAATCATTTTACTTTTCATTATCAAATATTGTTCCCTTAAAGTTTCATTTTACTAAACTTTGATATATTATCTATTTATGTAAGCTAAGTCTTCTGATATCATCGATCCTAAATTCATTTTAAAATACAAGGAATTTGTTGAGACATTAAATGTTTATAAATATAGAATTTAAGAAAAATGATTATATCATCACTCATATCACTTCCTGTATTTAAGACATCATCCATTTTATTTATTGTATCTATTGCTATAATCCACTAATTAATGCAATCTTCTCTTCCAATTCATTTCTAGAGACTTCAGAATAATTTAGAATAGTCTTTTTTGGTTCAATATCAAATGACTCTTAAAAATAGTCTTGATTTTTAGACACTTTTTTGAGTACTTTCAACTTCCTTATTCGTTTTTATGTTTATTAAGGGGTCAAGAGCTTCTAAGAAACAGTACAAATATTTTTCAATTGCTAACATATTGATTCAATCTTTTAATTTTCTGTCATACACAATTCTAGAACTGAGTTATTCATAGTCATGTCATCCTTGATTATTTGCATACTATAAATTTATGATCAGGAAAATTTTTGGAAAAATTAAATTATATTATTTTCATTACAACTATTAATTAATCCGTTTTAATATATTTAGAAATAATAGAAACATACAAAAAGAAGTTAAACTATGATTTCTGTATTAATTATAAATATTATAAATATTATAATTATTATAATTATTATAATTAAAAAAAAATGAATTATTGAGTTTATTTTTAACTCTCAAATATTAAATAATACTCTAAAAATATATTTAACTGTTTATTCAAAGCCAAAGCATGAGTTCCTTACTAGAATGAATGAATTTTTAGTTGAAAGGATAAAACCTTAAATTTGGGTCTACTAGATCATCTGTGAACAAAAATTTTGAATACTAATGAAAATGTTATGTATGAAGTATTTTAAAACATTTACATTTATCAAAATGAAATTATTAAAACTAGAAAATAAAAAGTAATTATATTCTTTTAACCTCTGTTAATTTTAATGATAATATGATCAAAGTGTCAGAATATATCCTTAAATGTCTTAAAAAAAGGATATTATTTATAAACAAAACTAGAATTGTATTCTATTAAGATCTAATAATAGAGATTAACTATTTAAGTAGATTGGTAAACTTGATTTTTAATAATTAATTAAAAAAATAATTTAGATTAAAAAATGTTCAAACTCACTCCCTCAGCTAATTCTTAGAGATCAACACCAAAATCAATTAGACGATTAAGTTCACTAAGCCATTCTAATGGAGAAGTGCTTATGAATGACTATTTTAACTTACCTATGATATCAACTAAGAGTACAATAGGAAATTATGGATTTAAGCCTAATACAATCTCAGTAATTGGAGATTTCGATGAAAGCACTCATCATATTACTTAAGACACTAACAAAATACCAATATAGATTTTAGTTGGTTAAGGAGAAAAAGGTCTAGAGAATTCTAACTACGATATTCTTGAGAAGTATTATTAAAGCAAGGCCATTAATAATTAAAGAAGGGTAGAAGCTAAAAAGTTGATTAAATAAGAAAATATAAGAGAATAGAGACATTAAAGCCTTTAAAAAAAAAATGTACAAAATTTAGATAAATTAAATGAAAATTAAAAATATAGTTAAGGAAAAAATTTTATAATTAGAGAAAACTAAATTAAGTCAAATAATACAGATGCACAATTATATTTATTTTAAAATATGGATAAAATTGGGTCTTAATAAAAAACAAGTACAATAGAGATGGTTTCTAAAAGAATTGAGAATTTAAGAAGAAAACTTAAAAAAGTATTTCTTTTTGTGTTTTCATCCATGGTGATTTCGAAAAAATATAGATTAGTTAAAAAAGAAGAAAAATAAATGATAACAATATTAAATAATAAACTTTAGAGTTGTTAGAAAGTTATAAACTAAAATGGGGTTAGATTCATTGAAGAATAATAATCATAATTCGTTTAAATTGTTTCAAATAAAGTTATTTACTACCTTAACAATTAAACTTATATTAATGAATGCAATACAATTGATGATGTATCTAATCCTGTNAGCCAAAGCATGAGTTCCTTACTAGAATGAATGAATTTTTAGTTGAAAGGATAAAACCTTAAATTTGGGTCTACTAGATCATCTGTGAACAAAAATTTTGAATACTAATGAAAATGTTATGTATGAAGTATTTTAAAACATTTACATTTATCAAAATGAAATTATTAAAACTAGAAAATAAAAAGTAATTATATTCTTTTAACCTCTGTTAATTTTAATGATAATATGATCAAAGTGTCAGAATATATCCTTAAATGTCTTAAAAAAAGGATATTATTTATAAACAAAACTAGAATTGTATTCTATTAAGATCTAATAATAGAGATTAACTATTTAAGTAGATTGGTAAACTTGATTTTTAATAATTAATTAAAAAAATAATTTAGATTAAAAAATGTTCAAACTCACTCCCTCAGCTAATTCTTAGAGATCAACACCAAAATCAATTAGACGATTAAGTTCACTAAGCCATTCTAATGGAGAAGTGCTTATGAATGACTATTTTAACTTACCTATGATATCAACTAAGAGTACAATAGGAAATTATGGATTTAAGCCTAATACAATCTCAGTAATTGGAGATTTCGATGAAAGCACTCATCATATTACTTAAGACACTAACAAAATACCAATATAGATTTTAGTTGGTTAAGGAGAAAAAGGTCTAGAGAATTCTAACTACGATATTCTTGAGAAGTATTATTAAAGCAAGGCCATTAATAATTAAAGAAGGGTAGAAGCTAAAAAGTTGATTAAATAAGAAAATATAAGAGAATAGAGACATTAAAGCCTTTAAAAAAAAAATGTACAAAATTTAGATAAATTAAATGAAAATTAAAAATATAGTTAAGGAAAAAATTTTATAATTAGAGAAAACTAAATTAAGTCAAATAATACAGATGCACAATTATATTTATTTTAAAATATGGATAAAATTGGGTCTTAATAAAAAACAAGTACAATAGAGATGGTTTCTAAAAGAATTGAGAATTTAAGAAGAAAACTTAAAAAAGTATTTCTTTTTGTGTTTTCATCCATGGTGATTTCGAAAAAATATAGATTAGTTAAAAAAGAAGAAAAATAAATGATAACAATATTAAATAATAAACTTTAGAGTTGTTAGAAAGTTATAAACTAAAATGGGGTTAGATTCATTGAAGAATAATAATCATAATTCGTTTAAATTGTTTCAAATAAAGTTATTTACTACCTTAACAATTAAACTTATATTAATGAATGCAATACAATTGATGATGTATCTAATCCTGTTTAAAGTATGGATTGGAAAAAACTAAGAGTTTAAAGCTTTTCAAAATTAATTTATCAAAATTTGGAATTACTCACTAGAGAATGTAATTTTCCAGAATTATTAAAATGCCAATTAATAACTAGTCTTTATAAAACCTCAAAATAATAGACTTCATTCTTTGTAGGAGAAAGATGTCATTTCTATTAAGCAAATAGAATCCATCTTTAAAGAGAATAAAAATTAGCAATAGCTATGGAATATTTACTTTTTTAAATAGTTATTCCAAATTTACTTTAAATAGTTAATAGTTTACCAACTTACAGTTAAAATCATAAAATTTAAACCTAATAAATAATAGTAATAATAGCAAGTCTCTTACATCAATAATTTGTAAATAGATTTTAAAATATGAAAAAAGTGAAAAATCCTAATGGTTATATGGTCAATAAAAGATTGAATATGTAATATTTAGAAAGTGGTTTATTTTGTAATGAGATTAATATTGCATATAACACTGGTGATAATAATGAAGTACTTGGAGGATTAATAGAATAAGAAAAACTTTAATAAATTGAAAATTCGAAACCTGTTTGGAAATAATCAATAGATTCTATCTTTGAATAGATCCTTTCAAATGTCCAAAATTTAATAAACTTTTGATTTATTTACTTTCTCTTTATATTATATTAATATTAACTTTTAAATCATTGATTTTTTTTGAATTCTATTATTATATAAGTAAAGAAGAAGAAACAAGAATAGAAGAAAAGCAGAATTTTTATCTAAAGAGGAATTATTAATTTATAACAAATGTTCTAATGGAACATTTCTTGAGATTGAAAGTGGTATATAACCAATAATATTGAGATTTGAGAATGATTTGGAAGACTTTGATGGGTTGAAATGTCTTAAATTAAAATCAGGAACCTAATAAAGAAAAAAATAAATGAATAGGAATATAAGTATTATAAAGAAGAAATAAATATAAAATAAAAAAGAAAAGAAGTTAATGATTATGTATAGTTACTTAAGTTTTGAGTTTAAAATGTAATTTGATAATTAGTTGATTAGAAAAAGTGATTTAACTAAATATTTGATTATGATTGAGTATATATATATAAATAGATCAGTTGCTTAATTTAAATATAGAAATGAATAATTAGAATAAATTAGTTTGATTAAATAATTAATTATTTAATTATATGAATTAAGAAGTGGAAAATAAGGAAATTAAGGAATAGAAAGAGTAAATCGAATAGGAATCTGATGACAATGAGAAGAATGAGAAAAAAGAATAAACATAACAATAGGAGTAGAAGAAAAAGAAGAAGAAAAATAAAAAGAAGAAGAAATGGGGAGAAGAAGGTATCTAAAAATGAAAATATTAGAGGAAATTATGACTGATTTTGATGATGATTGGTAGAATAAAGTGAAATTGTCTAAGATATTGCAAGACCCTGATTTACCTTAGCATATTAAAGAAAAATATGCAATTTATGAGAATAATCCTTATATGATGATAGTATCAAATGTGCCTTTAAATGTATAATTGAAAGAATTGGAAGAATACTTTAATACACTTATCACTTCTCTTGATCCTAAAATTAGTATTTATCAATTATATATTAGCCGAAAGACCTATTAAAGCTATTGAATATGGGGCAACAAAGTCTTGGGTAGTATTAGAATGTAGTTCTAAGGAAGCTAAAAGAGCTTTGGTTACTTAAGATTAGGTTCAATTTGTTAATAATTGTAAAATAAAAGTAGAGAGACCAAGAAAATTTTTAGAAAGGATTTTAAATCCATAAGCAAAGGAAGGTGAATTGAATGCTGAATAAAAATAAGAAGATAATACAAGATTGTATTTGGGAGGATTACCAACATATTTGAGAGATGAGGATGTTATGAAACTGATATAATCTTTTGGAACAACTAAATATTTCAATTTAGTAAAGGATACTACATCAAATACAGAGATATCAAAAGGTTATTGTTTTTTTGAATTTGAAAACACTGTCTCAACTGCAAAGGCTTTAAAAGCATTGAATAATTTATAGATAGGAGACAAGAAATTAAAAATATGTAAGGTTTAAGGGGAACCTTAATAAAATAAGAAAATTAATGGAAGAGATTAACCTTCTAATTATGCTGGGTCATTTTTGGCTTCATGTGATTTGTTACGTATGCCATAAGTGTAATAAATGTTAACAATCCCTTAATCTGCTTTGATTCCAAGTAAAGTGGTTTAATTTTTGAATATGGTATCAATTAAATAAGATAATAATAGTGTTCAATTGAAGATCTATATGAAGATGATTTATATGAAGAATTAATGGAGGATATTAGAAGTGAATGTATTCGTTATGGATAAATAGAGAAAATAGAAATACCAAGACCAGATAAAGAATCAGGGTAATAAATAAATAATTATTATAATAGATTCTGTAATCCAGCTGTAGGAAAGATCTTTGTGAAATTTTATTATTAAATTCCTGCTAAAAAGGCTAAATTTCATCTTGCAGGACGTACATATAATAAGAGAACTGTTATAACATCTTTTTATCCTGAGGAACAGTTTGACTATAAGGATTATTTGATAAATGGATGATTGCTTGAGTTTTATAATATTATAATTATTCTATAATGGTAAATTGATTAATGATTTTAATCATCCTCCTCTTCTGAATCTTCTATCTCTTTTAGGTAAATCTGCTCCATTACCTGCACAATTTTATTCAGAATATGTATTCAGATTAGGATATGGTTGTCTACCTGAATACTTTCTCATATCTTCTGTTGATTACTCAGCATATTTTGTAAGATGTTTTCTTGCTTATTCTGCATATGTTGGTTCATGTTTTTGACCATTCAAATCAGTTGCAGGTAAACAATCTAAATTCAATCTTTTTCTTTACTTGTTTCCATATAACTAATCTCTTTGGTTGTTATTACAAACACCAAAGCAATCACTAGTAAATACTTCATGATTGAAAATCAAAAAAACGATATAATTAATATTAAATCACTTCTTTTCTGGTTCATATCCTTATCTTTAATGAGCAACTTCTCTTGCTTTAACCAATCCTTATTCTCTATAATTTTACCATTCATATCCATGATATTTTGTGAATGATCTTCTATACAAATCTGAAGTTGCTTTTGCAAACCCTTTTAAAAACTTTACTAAATCAGCTCTACATATTATTAATATTATTTTATACCTTTCCTCTGCACTCTCTAATAATTCTCCTCTTTATAAACATTTTGTTCCCTTACACATAGCTTATGGATCTTTAGGCCACATAAATAGATTATAACTATTCCAAAATATTTTTGAATCCAATAAGGCCATTGTATATTCTTCATATACTCTCTAACTAGCTGCTGGTTTATTGTAGATTTAAGCTAAAGATGGTCCACTAGATTCTTAAAATGAAAAATCAGCTGCATATGGTTTTCCTGTAAATATTTCCAAAGAATGACAAGAAGCACATGCACGCATAAATACTTTTGCTCCTTATTTTAAATCACCATCAACTGGTACTAATTTAGATTTATCAGCATTTGTATTAGGATTTGTTAAATTTCGATATGTTTTTTTTGCTTTAATTGTTTATAATAAAGCTTCTCTAGTGATTGCTTCATCAATCATTTGTTATTCTTTATGCATAGCTCTTATTTCATTCTAAACATCATCTTTACTTTTTCCATAAGGATTTAAAAGAATTTTCTTCCATTTCTCATTTGGATCTTCTGACATTCTATTGTTTAATTTATTATCACATATTAAAATTCATATTTTCAATTCATCTTTCAACCTCTTTTCCAATTCTTCATCAGTCTCTTTTCTTACTACATCTTCTTTATTTTATACAATTTCCTCATAAATGTATCCACTCACATCTTCTCCTGTAATAATATCCTAAAGTAACTTTATATTTGGAATTTCAGCATTATCTTTTGTTACTAATACCCTCAAATCTTCATATAATTTACTATCATATTTTGTCTCAAATTATATAACATAATTTGATTATCTATATTTTTCATTCTTTATAATACATTTATAAATTACCACTTCTTCCTCTATCTTATTATTTGATACTTATATCACATCACTGATATTTAATAATTCATTATCTGTAACATTAACTTTTAACACATTTTTGTTTCCTAATTCAATCAAACATTTTTTTTAATCTTTCTCTAATGTTATTGATTAAACTAATTTTCCCAAGTATTTTCTACCCTTCATATATGATGATATTGTTTAAATTGAAAAAAATACAGGAATCAAAGTTACCCAAGGATTTATATACAAATAGGAAAGTCCACCTACCATACTCCATATAGTGATATATATAGAAGCAGATCTATTCAATTTGGTAGAGAATCCTTTTTTTTAAGCAAATTCTAAGTACCATCTACATTTAATTTATTTTGGAAAACTTTATAATTGTTGAATATTTTATTGTTCTGAGGATTAAAAGCAGCTGCCATCTTGTCAATTTATTCAGTCAGATAGTCTTCATGATCTAAAATTTTGTTTATCTTCTCTTTTGAAAATCTATATAAGACTCTTCTAATCAACATTATTAAAATTTAATGAGAATTGCTACATATAATATTAGAAATACTTAGGATTAATACATTAAGAGAAGAGAGAAATTATAGAGTGTCATCTAAGGATTGAATGCTGATGTAATATCTCTTTAAGAAGTGGCTCTTCCAGAGTTAGATTATTTGGCAGGTGATTACTAGAAATTCTTTGCCCCTATTCAATTATAATTTCCGTTAAATCCTGACCCAGAATTTAGAATAGATGGCAATGCTATATTAGTTAGGAAAGGAATTGAAGTTAAATTACATGAATTTGTTCATATAAGTGTGTTTAGAAATATATAACATATTGTAATTGGAGATGTGCATATTTACAATACTCATTTGCATCACGTAATAGGTGATGATCAAGTTCGAAGTCATCAAATAGATAACATCTTGACTTATTTATTGGGAAAATTGAATGAAAGAATCTTTTTAATGGGAGATTTCAACTTTACTCCTGAATCTTAGGAATATAAAAAAATGATACAATATTTTAAATCATCTAATATGTTGGCTAATCAAAAAGAACCTGAAATAACATTTCCAACAGGATTGACAGGACCATTTATGGATACTGATCCAGCTGGTACATTTGATTACATATGGATACGAGGTGATAAAATTGAAGTTAAGGAATGTACTTTATTTGGATCTGATAAAATCTCAGAAGGAGTATATCCAAGTGATCATTTAGGAATTCTAGGAGTATATAATTTATGAAGAATATTATTAATAAGATATTGTACAATCAACTAATAATATATATCTTCAATTTATATATATATGTAATATTATCTATAAAAATGGAACAAATAAGGGATTTGATTTAAATATAATTATATCATTTAATATATTTAAGTAATTTATCAGCTATTCTACATGTATTTAGATGTTTACAATTGATTGTTATATCAGTTAAGTATTGATTTATTAGATATTGTTTCATAAAGTTCAATATAAGATTATCACTAGAATAATGTTACAAAACAGCAAAAGTCACTATATTAATAAATATATTACATTAGATTAACAATTTACTTAATGTATAATCTTGC